CAGATTACCATCATCTTACACTCACACATGTGAAGGTAACAAGATTCTCAGCTTCCAATTTATTGGGTTCCATTTCTGCACCTTGAGATGCTCTATCAGAAGACTTAAAATTAGTTTTCATCGTAACATGGTTTATAAGAAAAAGTCCTCCATTTCCAAACACCTTTTATACATACTTATACGATGACTGAATGCCTCAGTATTGATTTAATTCAACTTCCACTGTCACGGGGACAGGATATATATTTCCCCAGGCTAAAATAATTTATGTATGGCATGAAGCAGCTACCAGTGAAGGTGAAGCAGATTACTTGGCAGGATATATAAATCTTCCTGTTTGCAGTGTGTTGGTGACTTAGTTAATATATGACTGTATCCCCGTAACCAGATTACAAAGGTTCACCTTTCCAATGAATCTTTATTCTACAAGGTTGACAATGAGGTGAATCACACACTTCATATCAATTCACCTGAGAGAACCTCTCCCTAAAGCTGCTATACTCATGCCTTCACATCCCAAGACATCTCTTGGCAGCAAAGGCTATTTTTATGGGCTTGTCACTTAACAAAGCTATCTCCATCTGTTCAGCTATACATGCAAATTCTCAAATACAGCAGGAAATGGGAAAAAAATAGTTTTCATAGGTGTGTATGTACTCCGTTACATTCCGATCAGCCTTTACATAACCTCTGGCACATTAGGCATTTTTACACTAAAATGAATCAAGCCTACTAAAAATTGTTGACTTCTTTAAAAGAATATGTACATGTCATAATAGTAAAAGTAGGTATGTACAGTGAAGGAAAAGTATTTGATCCCCTGCTGATTTTGAATATTTGCCCACTCAAAGAAATGATCAGTCTAAAATTCAAATGGTGGGTGTATTGTAACAGAGACAGAATAGCAACAAAAAAATCAAAAGGAATGCATGTCTAACACATGATGCACTAATTTGCATGTTCATGAGGGAAATAAGTAGTTGATCCCCTATCATTCAGCAAGATTTCTGGCTACCAGGTGTCTTTTATACAGGTAACAAAATGAGATTAACAGCGCTCCCTTTAAGAGACTGCTTCTAATCTCAGCTTGTTACCTGTATGAAAGTCACCTGGTAGCCAGAAATCCTGCTGAATAATAGGGGATCAAATACTTATTTTCCTCATGAACATGCAAATCAGTGCATCATTTGTTAGACATGAATTTCTTTTGAATTTTTTTATGCTATTCTGTCTCCCAGTGTTACAATACACCTACCATTTGATTTTTAGACTGATCATTTCTTTGTAAGTGGGCAAACGTTCAAAATCAGCAGGGGATCAAATACTTCTTTACTTCACTGTATGAAAGTATTTAAAGAGAAAAATTGTTGACTGTTTTTTTTAGCATTCGGGTTGTTAAACCCCCCCCAAATAAAAACTTTCAAACATTGATGTTTGGAAAAAAATTTGAAAAAAGAGAAAAATAGTGTATTTGTATAAAACAAACAACTAAATTAGCAAATTTTCCAATTGGAATGTCAACAAATAAACAGTTCACACAACAATTTGTAATGATTAGAGTCTGTCACAATTATCTTCACAATATGTTAAGTTAACAACACCCCGAAAGCGGTCCGCAAAACGCAGTGCGATGTGCAGCAGAAAAACAGATCGCATAGGTGTGAATACCCATGTGATCCGATTCTAGTGTGGACCAAATGAAGGGTACTGCACGTTTTTGGTGTGGGTGTGGTGCGAATAGAGCCAAACAAAATGCACAGCTCCAATCGCACCCCACTCAAATCGCATGTGATTTGCACAGGAATGTGGAGCAGTTCCTGTGCGAATCAATGCGATGTACCGGACGCATGTATGCAAACCCTGGCTAAAACACAAGGATAATTTAAAAATAAATAAAAAAAAAAAACAAAATTTTTACCAGTTTTTCATTAAAAAAAAAAACAAACTGCCATTAGAGACATATGCAGGTTGCTGTTATTGAAGTTCTGAACATGTCCGGGCCCGTCTGAAGTTTGCTAGAGAGCATTTGGATGATCCAGAAGAGGATTGGGAGAATGTCATATGGTCAGATGAAACCAAAATAGAACTGTTTGGTAGAAACACAACTCGTCGTGTTTGGAGGAGAGAGAATGCTGAGTTGCATCCAAAGAACACCATACCTACTGTGAAGCATGGGGGTGGCAACATCATGCTTTGGGGCTGTATCTCCGCAAAGAGACCAGGACGACTGATCCATGTACAGGACAGAATGAATGGGGCCATGTATCATGAGATTTTGAGTGCAAACCTCCTTCCATCAGCAAGGGCACTGAAGATGAAACGTGGCTGGGTCTTCCAACATGACAATGATCCCAAACATACCGCCCGGGCAACGAAGGAGTGGCTTCGTAAGAAGCATTTCAAGGTCCTGGAGTGGCCTAGCCAGTCTCCAGATCTCAACCCCATAGAAAACCTTTGGAGGGAGTTGAAAGTCCGTGTTGCCCAGCGACAGCCCCAAAACACCACTGCTCTATAGGAGATCTGCATGGAGGAATGGGCCAACATACCAGCAACAGTGTGTGCCAACCTTGTGAAGACTTACAGGAAATGTTTGACCTCTGTCATTGCCAACAAAGGATATATAACAAAGTATTGAGATGAACTTCTGATATTGACCAAATACTAAATTTTCCACCATAATTTGCAAATAAAGTCTTTCCATACCAGCCAATGTGATTGTCTGGATTTTTTTTTTCTCATTTTGTCTCTCATAGTTGAGGTCTACCTATGATGCCAATTACAGGCCTCTCTCATCTTTTTAAGTGGGAGAACTTGCACAATTGGTGGCTGACTAAATACTTTTTTGCCCCACTGTAATAGTCAGCTTTTATTTACGGTAAACCTTTAACTCAAAAGGAACAAAAAATGTTGCTGTAACTGCTGATAAAGTGTTAGCTGGAATTTGGCTTCAATGTGTTAGTGGATCTAAATCTGCTAGTACAGCTAACACTCCCTTCCCCCCAGACCAACAATGCTGCTGTCTACATTGCCAGGTGAAAACATAGGGGGGAAAAGCCTAAACACGAAAACTAATGCGCTAAACCACATTTAAGGATTGATAAACTGCCATAGATTACATTTTTGGTTTTGGGTTTAATAACGCTTTAATGTTTACCATAAAAATAGGAATTTTTATGTACTCCTTAGATCTGCGAACCATGAGAAGGGACAATTCTAGGTGCTGTAAGGAACCAAAGAACTCCATCTTGGGGGAATGAGTTTAAGTAGGGAAGGAGGACTCTCTTTAAGGAGAGCAGGAGCCCTGAAAGAAGGGCAAATTAACTACCCAGTCAGGTGGAAGAGGAGAGAGGGAAGAATCCCATGGGGGACCACCCTGCAAATGGAAGAGGGCAAGGGAATAAATGGTAGGAAGCCATAGATAACAATCCTGACTAAAACCATAAGGTGATTCGTAAGTGTTTGACATACCTTCAAGGAAGGACATAGGAGGAAGAGAGACATTCCCACAGAAGGCAATACAGGGAGCCCTAGGAAAGCAAGGAAGACAGTATTTCAGGATACTTTGTCTCTATGCAGAGTAAGAAAAGGAGGGAGCCCACAGGAGGAACAGTGGGAAACCTAAGGCAGAACTACGGCTGTTAGGGTTAATGGAGAGAAAAAGGTTTGCTTACACAGGCCCTTATAAGAGAGTAACCCATTTGAGCACAAAGAGAGAGCTACATGCAGGCAAGAGCGCCTGAGGAGGGTTCCAGAGGGGCACGGGAAATCGCAATGTGCACAATGAACAGTAACTTCTTGGAAAAGGAGTGCACAGGGAGTGCAAAGCAAGGTGTCAGCAAGGGGATACAAGTCCTAACCAAAACCTACTGGGTACCTGGAGCCTGGCGTCATACTTTGTGGAATTTCCCTCACATGGCAGATTAAAGAGTGTGGGGGGAGTGATCTGCATGCCCTTAAGAAGAGGGGGCACCCAACCCATAGGTTGAAATGTGCCTAAGAAATTAGAAATGAAGGAAGGTGCATGAGGTTTATAGAGTAGTCACATACACTACCTAAAGCTGAATAGAGAGATGGGCAGGCAAGAGTACATACAGCCCACATATGGAGGGGAAACTAACACATACAATGGGTACTGAGACCAGGAGCCTGCAACCTTTTGTACAAGGATGGTAATAGAAGTTGACTGGTGCAAAGGCCAGCTCATTTTGAGAATGCAAGAGAGCCCTAATATAGGGAGGGATGATATTCTCAAACTCGGAGCAGAGTCTAACAGGTGTCGGTCAGAGAGGCCTATGTGGGAAAAAAATGAATTTTGATTTATCTGTATATTCCATATCTTGGAGTACAGTCCAAGACCCAGCCTTGATATTCATAAACTCTGAATTAAAGGCTGGTTACCTGACACTGGATAAAAACTTTTAAGCATATGCCCCCTGGTCCCCCTCTATAACCATACCCTACCCTGAGTGCTCCGTTTTTTTAGCAAGCAATGCAGATAAACGCAGGATTAGAAGGGAGGGTAATCAGTGTCCTGTACTATTCTCCAAGCTATGGAATTTATAGGCAAGTCAAAACATTCCTCTCATTTTAATTGTAATGTACAGGACACATGCAGGACATTCATTGACCTTAGGAGGATGAATTACCATATTTGTTTCTTAAAATGATACATTTTCAAAATATGGGTTTATGAGATTTGCAAATCATTGCATTCTGTTTTAATGTAGATTTTACACAGCATCCCAACTTTTTTGGAATTGGGGTCGAATGATATTTTGGAGGAATCAATGTCATGCCTGAGCATAAGCACTTTCAGTGGCAGGCCTTAAAGAAGCCATCTGTTTTTTTAAAAACAATTTGGAAAAATTACCATATTTTCCGCTCCATAAGACGTGCCTAGGTTTTAGAAAAACAAGAAAAAAAATATTCAGCACAGTACAGGCGATGACCAGAGACTGCGGACACAGTACAGGCGATGACCAGAGACTGCGGACACAGTACAGGCGATGACCAGAGACTGCGGACACAGTACAGGCGATGACCAGAGACTGCGGACACAGTACAGGCGATGACCAGAGACTGCGTACCGTACAGGGGATGACCAGAGACTGCTGACACGTACAGGGGATGACCAGAGACTGCGGACACAGTACAGGGGATGACCAGACTGGCGTGCTGACAGACTGCGTACCGTACAGGGATGACCAGAGACTGCTGACAGTACAGCGAGATGACCAGAGACTGGAGACAGTACAGGAGATGACCAGAGACTGCAGACAGTATAGGAGATGACCAAGAGACTGCGGATACAGTACAGGAGATGACCAGAGACTGTGGACCTTTGGGGAGGGAGGGGGAGTGGGTACCTGAATTTTTGACAGGAGTCATCTTCCCTTTAGTGTGGGCACCCGGCTGTCACAGACAGGTCCCAGAAGATGCCAGGCCATTCACAAAGCGCAGCACTTCTCGCGCATGCGCAGTGAGCACCCGGCTGTCACAGCCGGGTGCTCACACTAAAGATGCCGGCACAGGAAGACTGTACAGCGCTGGACCAAGGAACAGGTAAGGTCCTGCTGCAGAGAAGAGCTGAGCGGCTGGCCCGGTATTCTGACATGGTGTTAGTGGCTGAAATACCAGACCGGCCAATCCATATCGGCTCCATAAGACGCACTGACATTTTCCCCCCTTTTTTTGGGGGAAAAAAAGTGCATCTTATGGAGCGAAAAATACGGTACATCAGTACAGAATGTGGACCAGTATACCAAAAAATAAACCAGCACATATAAAGGCAAACATATGCAAGTGCTTCTATCATATCCTATTCTAGGTTAAAGTCATACATCATGTATAGTTGCAATTAAAAGCAATTTCAGGATCAGTTTTCTTTTCAAATTGTACTATAAATGCATGGGGTCCAACATTATTTCACAGCACCATGAAATACTACACATGGTACACTGTACAAGACACTTCCCTATACCTTATATTCCTGGGTTACAATAATTAACTATGACATGTCTTATGGGCACATAGCGCAGCAGTCGGGGGATGAACACAGCGGTGCCCCAGGGCGAGCGGCTTTTCCTGGGAGCACTGCTTGAGCGTGAGGAGCCAGGAGTGGCAGTGGATACCCAAAAAGAAGAGGATCAAGGCTGCTCTGTGCAAAACCACAGCACAGAGCAGGTAAATATAGACATGTTTGTTATTTTAATCAGAAAAAATAAAACTCCAAAGCTTTAGTGTCACTTAAATAAACGCCCTGAAATGTTATTAAAGGTTGTGTGCAAACACACTGTTATTTTAGATATTGTCATGTCGTAACAGGTTCCCTTTGTTGACATATTACGAGAACCTGAATTGAAATAGTGCAGGTACTCTGCAAGGGTTTTAATGGTGGTAGAAAACTGACTTAAGTTTGGGAAACACTGTCACAGTGCATAACCATCTGTTAGACTTCTCCAAAAAATTATACAAATACTTAAAAGTGCCTTGAAAAAAGTATTCATACCCCTTGAAATTTTCCACATTTTTCATGTTACAACCAAAAATGTAAATATATTTATTGGGATTTTATGTGACAGACCAACACAAAAAGCACCACATAATTGTGAAGTGGAAGGAATGATAAATGGTTTTCAAAATGTTTTACAAATAATTATCTCAAACGTGTGGCATGAATGTGTGTTCAGCCCCCCTGACCCCCTGAGTCAATACTTTTGTAGAACCACCTTTTGCTGCAATTGCAGCTGCAAGTCATTCTGGGTATGTCTCTACCAACTTTGCACATCTAAAAGAGTGACATTTTTGACCATTCTTTGCAAAATAGCCCAAGCTCTGTCAGATTGGATAGAGTGCGTCTGAACGGCAATTTTCAAATCTTGCCAAAGATTTTCAACTGGATTTAGGTCTGGACTTTGACTGGGTGAACCTCTGCCCCAGTCTTAAGTCTTTTGCAGGTTCTAACAGGTTTTCTTATAAGATTGCCCTGTGTCCCCCCACATGACTTCTCGCAAACTTGACTTCTTATGGCTTTCTTCTTGCCACTCTTCCATAAAGGACATATTTGTGGAGTGTACGACTTAATACTTGTCCTGTGGAAAGATTCTCCCACCTAAGCTGTGGATCTCTGCAGCTCCCCCAGAATTACCTTAGGCCTCTTGGCTGCTTCTCTGAATAATGCTCTTTTGGCCCGGCCTGTCAGTTTGGTAGATGACCATGTCTTGATAGGTTTGCAGTTGTGCCATACTATTTCCATTTTCAGATGATGGATTGAACAGTGCTCTGTGCGATGCTAAAAGCTTGGGATATTTTTTTTATAACCTAACCCAGCTTTAAACTGATACACAACTTTATCCCTGACCTGTCTGGTGTGTTCCTTGGCCTTCATGATGCGGTTTGTTCACTAATGTTCACTAACAAATTTCTGAGGGCTTCACAGAATAGCTGTATTTATACTGAGATTAAATTGCACACAGGTGGCTCTATTTACTAATTATGAGATTTCTGAAGGCAATTGGTTCCACTAGATTTTTTAGTTAGGGGTATCAGAGTAAAGCGGTCTGAATACAAATGCACGCCACACTTTCAGATATTTGTAAAAAATTTGAAAAACATTTATCATATTCCTTCCACTTCGCAATCATGTGCCACTTTGTGTTGGTCTATCACATAAAATCCCAATACATTTCTGTTTTTGGTTGTAACATGACAATGTGGAAAATTTCAAGGGGTATGAATCATTTTTCAAGGCACTGTAATTGGATGCTGATACTACCATGTGGAAATGCACTTTTACCCTATAAACCACAAAATATTCTGACAGAATGTTCTGCTAAATTACCTAACCACATATACCGTACCCCAATTATTCCCCATACAAACAAAAGACCACATTTCCACACACCTATAAATATCGCTCTTGGCTAGTATAACAAATGAACAGTTTCAATTGCACGTTACCTTGCAGTGCTGGATTCAAGCAGTTCACATTTTCCCATCATTTCAGCAAAAGCCAGGCATAACTCTTTCTTACAGAGGGAAATGACTATGGTTTTTATTGCCATATTGAATAGTAAAAAGGGCTGAGGCAATAAATAACTAGCACAATCATTCTCATCACACGAAGCCAAGTACAATATATAAACTGGTCAATGCGGCCATTTCTCATTGAATGAGCATGCATATGAACAGAAACGTTACTTTCCCCATTCACTTGCACACTGGGACAAAAAGAATATATAAAAACACAATAGTTCAAAAGCTTCCGACAGACAAACCAAATGTCATTTTAGGTAGTTTCGGGCCATCTTTCCGATGGGCAAGTATGGTAAAACCTCAATTTACTTACGAGAAGCATTAGTTGCTGGATGTCCAACTCATAAAACAAAGTAAAGCCTTGAATATATATTCATTTCCATAGCTACCAACTCACAAGCAACTTCTAATGCTTTCTACTCAAACATTAAGCCATACTGCTCTACAAAATCCATCTTTGAAATGGCCTTAAGGTCACTCTGCCCTCATCAAAAAATAACAATTGGCATTTGAAAAACATTAGTAGTGTGTGTACGTTTATATTTGAACACGACAGTGTAACTTGGGATGGACCATTTTAGTTCATCTGTGTATCTGCAGCATTACAAAATACATGACAGTGTGCGGATTTTACAAGGTGCAGGCTATTTTATGTTATCGGTTCCTGCAGACTGCAAAGGCCTCCCCACTGTGCTTTTTGGAGGTAGATTGGCAAAAACATATTTTGAGCACATTTATAAATGTCAATGTTGTGCAATATATATATATATATATATATATATATATATATATATATATATATATATATATATATACATACACACACACACACACACACACACACACACACACACACACACACACACACACACAGTCAGGTCCATAAATATTGGGACATTGACACAATTCTAACATTTTTGGCTCTATACACCACCACAATGGATTTGAAATGAAACAAACAAGATGTGCTTTAACTGCAGACTGTCAGCTTTAATTTGTGGGTATTTACATACAAATCAGGTGAACGGTGTAGGAATTACAACAGTTTGCATATGCGCCTCCCACTTGTTAAGGGACCAAAAGTAATGGGACAGAATAATAATCATAAATCAAACTTTCACTTTTTAATACTTGGTTGCAAATCCTTTGCAGTCAACAGCCTGAAGTCTGGAACGCATAGACATCACCAGACGCTGGGTTTCATCCCTGGTGAAGCTCTTCCAGGCCTCTACTGCAACTGTCTTCAGTTCCTGCTTGTTCTTGGGGCATTTTCCCTTCAGTTTTGTCTTCAGCAAGTGAAATGCATGCACAATCGGATTCAGGTCAGATGATTGACTTGGCTAGTGCATAACATTCCACTTCTTTCCCTTAAAAAACTCTTTGGTTGCTTTTGCAGTATGCTTTGGGTCATTGTCCATCTGCACTGTGAAGCGGCGTCCAATGAGTTCTGAAGCATTTGGCTGAATATGAGCAGATAATATTGCCTGAAACACTTCAGAATTCATCCTGCTGCTTTTGTCAGCAGTCACATCATCAATAAATACAAGAGAACCAGTTCCATTGGCAGTCATACATGCCCACGCCATGACACTACCACCACCATGCTTCACTGATGAGGTGGTATGCTTAGGATCATGAGCAGTTCCTTTCCTTCTCCATACTCTTCTCTTCCCATCACTCTGGTACAAGTTGATCTCGGTCTCATCTGTCCATAGGATGTTGTTCCAGAACTGTGAAGGCTTCTTTAGATGTCGTTTGGCAAACTCTAATCTGGCCTTCCTGTTTTTGAGGCTCACCAATGGTTTACATCTTGTGGTGAACCCTCTGTATTCACTCTGGTGAAGTCTTCTCTTGATTGGTGACTTTGACACACATACACCTACCTCCTGGAGAGTGTTCTTGATCTGGCCAACTGTTGTGAAGGGTGTTTTCTTCACCAGGGAAAGAATTCTTCGCTCATCCACCACAGTTGTTTTCTGTGATCTTCAGGGTCTTTTGGTGTTGCTGAGCTCACCAGTGCGTTCCTTCTTTTTAAGAATGTTCCAAACAGTTGTTTTGGCCACGCCTAATGTTTTTGCTATGTCTCTGATGGGTTTGTTTTGTTTTTTCAGCCTAATGATGGCTTCCTTCACTGATAGTGACAGCTCTTTGGATCTCATCTTGTGAGTTGACAGCAACAGATTCCAAATGCAAATAGCACACTTGAAATTAACTCTGGACTTTTTTATCTGCCCATTGTGATTGGGATAATGAGGGAATAACAAACACCTGGCCATGGAACAGCTGAGAAGCCAATTGTCCCATTACTTTTGGTCCCTTAACAAGTGGGAGGCACAAATGCAAACTGTTGTAATTCCTACACCGTTCACCTGATTTGGATGTAAATACCCTCAAATTAAAGCTGACAGTCTGCAGTTAAAGCACATCTTGTTCGTTTCATTTCAAATCCATTGTGGTGGTGTATAGAGCCAAAAATGTTAGAATTGTGTCGATGTCCCAATATTTATGGACCTGACTGTATATATACATACATACACACACACAAATACACACTGTTATACACACACACACGCAATCCTCTCCTAGAATGTAAATAAAATTTTTTAGCAAAAGGTG